GGGTTCCACACTTAAGGGAAAGTGACTCTCACTCTCCCAGTAGCTTTCAGTTGCCAATAGTTTGTTAGCAAGGAGTGAGACTTGGTGCCGACCTCCCCATCTCCTTAATAGGATTTTGTCTGGCTTGAACTTGGGTAGTTCTTGTTGAATTCACTATATCCATAGATTTGCACATCTCTCAGACCTCATCAGAGAAGCTTCTCCTTGTAGTAGATAGCAGTTAACACAGAGACCTACAAATGATAAATGTGCAGAGGATACGAGAATGTCGAGTGCTCAGCCCTACATGGGGCATCCATAGCACACTTCTTCCCCCACATCTCAGGAATCATCTATGAGAGAGGGGAGGAAAGATTTTAAGAGGCAGAGGTGGCAGACCTCAAGGGAACTGTGTTTTCTGGATACAACAGGGTGGTTGCATGTACAACTAACTGATTGTGGCAGCATGTACAAGATGAACACAGGATCAAGCTAGGCAAAACATGGTATGAATTTAAATGGTTCATTTGAAGACGATGTCCATATTCTTTTTGTAGAGAGACAAAGGCTTAAATTTTCTGTTAGGAAAATGATACTGACCATAGTTCTTACAATGAGGGATTTTTGTCTTGGCTTTCTTGCTCTCTCTCTCTCTCTCTCTCTCTCTCTCTCTCTCTCTCTCTCTCTCTCTCCTTCCCTCCCTCCCCCTCTATGTCTATCGTATATACATATCTGTGTGGTGTGCACATGTGTGTACAGGTAGATGTGTTTACATGTGAGCGCACCTGGACATAGAGGCCAGAGGTTAATATTGAATGTCTTCTGTCTTCCACAGCAGCTCTCCACCTTATGTTTGGAGACAGTATCTCTCACTGAATTTGAAGCTCATCAATGTACATAGGTCACTGGCCAAGGAGCTCCACAAATCAGCTTCCTTTGAGTGGCCCCAATATTGGGTCTACAGACACTCATGACTGCTCCCAGATTTTACATGAGTGTTGAGGATCTGTCAATATGCTTGCATGGTAGTGATACAGGCAAAATTGTGGGTCCCCTTTGAGGCTTTTAATCTCACTGATAACATAATTCAAGAATAAACTCAGCCGGGCTGTGGTGGTGCATGCCTTTAATCCCAGCACTCAGGAAGCAGAGGCAGGCGGATCTCTGTGAGTTTGAGGCCAGCCTGGTCTACAGAGTGAGTCCCAGGAAAGGCTCCACAGAGAAACCCTGTCTCGAAAAAAAAAAAAAAAAAAAAAAAACAAAGAATAAACTCAAATTGAAGTACAAGGGCAATTTTATTAGACCTTAAAAGAAAATCCATGGGGTATGTGGTCTCTAAAACCTCAGCAGCTGCCTGAATGGAAGAGGCAAATGAAGGAGGGGAGGAGAAAAAGCCATGACCAGATCACTGGTGGAGGTCACTCTAGCAATGAGCAGGCTCTCGGCAGGGAGGAAAGCCTGGGAAAGAGTAAGGAAGCCCAGAAATAAAGCCCAAAAGTTTAAGGAAAACATGCTTAGAAAAGAGATAAAACTAACTAAAAGCCATGTTTTTCTGAATTATTTTTTTTCTGAATTATTTAGAAAATTGGGCAGATTTAGGATCCCTGTAGGCTGTTATTCTGGTCAGTGTATTCCCCAAGGACAGAAATTCTAGGAAGGTATAAAATTACAGTATCATATTAAAGGGCTAATTATTCCACCCATCTCTTTAGCATGGGTAAGATGAACCCATCTTCCTAGGGGTGGTCTCTTAGCCAAAGTGATTGAACCAGCCTAAGTGGAATGTCAGGTCTCCAACTACGCCAGTGATTTCTACTCCAATAGTGGACACTTTACCAACTGGGCCAGCTCCTGAGTCAGCCTAGCTTTATTGCTTTTTAAAGAAACAAAACAAAATACAAACAAAAACAAAAGAACAAAAAAAAAAAAAAGAACTTTGCTTGAAATTTTAACATTAATTCCAGAGGTTTGAAATCATGTTTTAAATGTTAATGGCAAAAGATCTAAGCAGAAGTTAACAAAGGAATTAATTCTATCATTCTACTCCTTATTCCTCTTCCTAAATTTGACACAAATGGATGCCCAGTGTTCTATGTGTGTCAAAAGACAAAGTCTGGGGACAGTTCCAGTGAAGAGAGTAAGTAAAAAAGAAAGGAGAAAGTCACTGATTAGAAGAGTTTTACATGTTCCTGCCATTTGTACCAAATGGCTCTTCACAGGTAGAGGGAAGTGAAACTGTGAGACTAAAACAGGAAAAGTGGGTCTTGCAGGGTAAGTGTTCTGTTTGCAGTGAAGAATAAGTTTCTGTTTGTCCTGTGTTTGTTTGGTTCATCTTTCATCAGATGTGCTTGATCACATGTGTGGAGAAAATATGCCTGCCTCTGATTGCACCTGACGAGAAACACTGTGGCCTCGTGGGGTTGTGCTGTGGAATAATCCTTCTGTACACTGTGTGAATGTATGCTGCCATGATTGGTTTAATAGACACGCTAACTGGCCAATAGCTGAGCAGGCTAAAGTTAGACAGGAAAGCCAAACTGAGAATGATAGGATGAGGAAGGGCAGAGTCAGGGGAGTCATCAGCCAGACACAGAACAAGTCGGACACACAAAATGGGATAGAAATGGGATAGAGGTAAAAGCCATGTGGCAGAATGTAGATTAGTAGAAATGGGTTAATTAAAGTTGTAAGAGCTAGTTCGTAAGAAGCCTGAGCTTTCAACCAAGCACCTGGCCAGAGTCCATCCACCTGGCCAGTATTTAATTAAAGCTTGCTTCAAATTTGGCTTTACATTGTGGTAGTGGTCTTATTCTCAGCCAGCAGGATTAACAAAACCACATGAGATACCGTTTCGGCAATTCAGTACAGATGATAGAAATGGAAATTAATTTTACAGTTAAGAATTGTACATGGTCACTTTGCCACATGATGCATCTATGATCATAGTGAGCAACTCCTGACACCATGGGAGAAAACAGTGCATTGAAGATGAAAATAAATCCTGGTGAACACCACCGAAAGGATGTGTGAACATGAAACACGTCTTCAGAGGGTGAGAGCCACTGAGTTCTCAAAAATGAGCTGAGAGAAGAGTGTGTTGGAGAATCACACTCCAGAAGGAAATACTACATTCAAAAAGGCCAAAAGAACAGGGGTAACTTAGTTGAGTCTTAACAGCAAATGCTTTGTCATGAACAGAGGTACAGGTGCTAAGAATATAAAGAATCAGTTAGGCGGTGGTGGCCCATGCCTTTAATCCCAGCACTCGGGAGGCAGAGGCAGGCGGATCTCTGTGAGTTCAAGGCCAGCCTGGTCTACAAAGCGAGTTCCAGGAAAGGCGCAAAACTACGCAGAGAAACCCTGTATTAAAAAAACAACAACAACAAAAAAAAATCAAATAAGTTTATATGATATACATAGTTAAGCATGGATACATAATTTTGAACATGTAAAATATTTCATTAATTTAAACATACAGGGCCAGAAATGTGTCTCAGTGTTAATATCTGTCTTAGAAGTCTAGAATAGATATTTCAAGAAATACGATGGAAATAAAAAATATTTAGTGTCTGGTACTTTCCTGGTGGGGGTCAGTTACTATTGGCAATCAAAATGTTAAGGTGAGTTTTCCTAAAGCAGCTGAGTGCATTTTCTCCCTAATTTAAGCTAGAACAAAGTAGAATATGGATGGGATTTAGTAAGGCAAGAAGAAATTTGATACAATGGAGAAGAGCCATACAGATGTAGATTCAAATCCAGATGTTAAATACTAGCTCTTTGCCCACAGTCAAGTTTTTTTAACCTCACAATGTTTGTTTCCTTATCTGTAAAACGGAGATAATTATACCTCATTGACAAAGTTTCACGAGGCCTAAGCCCAGCAATATATGTGAAATAATTAGCACACTTCAACTGGCGCAGAGAAAGCACACAGAAATGGCTGCTTGTATCTTTACAAAAGGAGACACTGGACATGTGGAGGGGATGAGGGGGGACATTCCCAGAAGAGGCCTGGGCAAGGAAAGCGATTGTCTCAGCTGGATGTGACTCAGTCTTGCTGTGCTGGGACTGCTTGTAAAAGAATAATCCATGGATGAATGGGGAAGCTGGCCAGCGCAGCCTGATCCTCCGCATTGGTTCTAGCTAGGACATCTGAGTGTGAGCAGAATATGAATCACCTGCTTACTGTACATTAATATTATTCAGTCACCAAAGGGCAAAAGATGCTTGGTCAGGATTAATCATTGAAAAAGCCAAGTGACTTTCAATGTATTCCATTTGAATATGGTAATGAGACATTTGTCACTTTTATGACTCTTTGTTGGGGAATTGTGGGATGGAAAAGGATTAACATATAATTCTCAGATATATCTTTTTTTTTTCTTTTTCTGTATTGATGCCAGCCTAGTGTACTATTTGTTGTGTATCCTTACTGTATGGGTAAGAAAAAAGCTTTTCAATTTGGGACTTACAAAAGGACCATGCTGTTCTTAGGAAAGTGAGATGCCATTAAAATTCAAGATATTTCTGATTTGAATGGTTTTCACATTAGAATCATCAAGCTTTTTACATTAATGATACTCAGGCACTGACCCTAAAGATAGTTTGAATACTTTTTCAGAGTTAAACAATCCCTTAATGGGATGCTTCTTTATCAAAACAAGTTTCTTTTAAGATATTTGCTAAATAAGCGATTACAAATTTTGAATTGTGGATGTAATGTAGCATGTACTGGAACAGCAAACTAGACAATAAGTGTCCACCCCCATCTTCTTTATTCAATTCAGGACGTTTCAGAAGAAGGTTAAAATCAGGGAGACTGTTCCACTTATGCCACACTGGGGGAAGGGAGAGAGCTCTCCCTCCTGACCTTTGTGATGTCACTGATAGCCTCACTGTGGTGGCTGTTCAGCTTCATCACACACACAACTGCCTGTGAAAGTTCTAAATAATCAGGGCATTATCCAGCGCTTGAATGAACTTGGTTACATCACTTAACCAGTTAACCTTAGAAGGTTACTTCTCTAAAGAAAGGATGAGACAGTCGCTCAATGGATAGAAGTGTGCAGTATTCCTTTGTGGTTCTGGAAATCGCTGTGATTGTATTCCTGAGCCCCTTGGAATCACTCCTTCCTGCAGGACCCTCACATGAGCAAGCCTTGAGGAGAGAGGGGACAAAAGCAATTCTTGAAACTTGAATGACCCCATTGCCTACTGAGTGGAAGAGATTAGAAAATGACCTCTTTGTCAGGGCTCTAAAGCAGTGGGTTTTATATTTGGGGGAAAATCTTAAATCCTTCCATGTAGACAAAGAAAAAGCCCCCAGGAAATGCTACTAAGTAATCTTCAAAAATTTGCCTATCTTGACCTGTAGAGGTACCAAACTCATAATCCAGAAACTTGAAATTATGTAAAAAAAAAAAATACAGTTTTCACTCTTTGCCTGTGGACCTGGGCGCACAATAGGGGGAAAAGATAATTCATAGGTGAAATTATACATTAAAATGTTTTAAAATTATTCTGATGTAGACTAAACTAACCAAAGCAAGAAAACAAATCATAAAGCAATAAAAATACCCTTTTCCTCAAAAGAAGACGAAAAAGAAAAGAAAAGAAGGGGAAAAAAAGGAATACAAAAGTCCTGGACCACTTTCTGAGATTCCTCCTGCCTTCAGGTGAGTCAGTCATGAACTGCAGAGCTTACTGGACAACACCGCTCCTCTCAGTGGGAGTTCCTCAGAGCAGTCTTACATTTCTGTTTCTTGCCTGTATCTTTTCTTGGTTCTTAATCTTTTGTTGTTGTTGTTGTTGTTGTTATAATTGAGATATCCAGAGTTTTCAGGAAGGGGATTCTTCATCATCTAGGTAGAAACAGAGGTGGTAAAATGTTAGGTCATGCAGGACCCCAGAATGTTTCAGAAAACACTTTATCCAAAAGTGGCTAAAAAGGGATTCTGAACTGTTGCTGTGAAGTGGACAATCCACAATTGTCCATTAGTACAAGTCACAAAGGGGACAAGAAGTAATCCTGTGTGAAAGGGGTAGAGCAGGGAGCTAGAGAGAAACCCAAAGAAACCCAGGGACCCAAATATCCCTTGAAAGCCCTTGCTTTGGACACCCTGGCACTGTCGAGAGATGGAGTGATCAACCGAGGCTTTCCCTGAGGCCTGAATGTGTGGAGAAGGAACATAGTTCCTTTTCAAAACCAGAAACATACTTGGCATAAGATATTGTTTGTGCAAGACCTCCTAATTCCAAACTATAACTTCTATTCTCTTTATCTTCTGATCTCCCGGTCCTCTTTCTCAGGAACACATCACTAAAGAATGACCTGCTAGGGGCTGGAGAGATGGCTCAGGAATGGGGAGCACTGACTGCTTTTCCAGAGGACCCTGGTTCAATTCCCAGCACCCACATGGCAGCTCACAACTGTCTGTAGCTCCCGTTCCAGGGGATCCAACACCCTCACACAGGCATATATGCAGGCAAAAACAATAATGCACATAAAAACAAGCAAACAAACCTGTTGATCCAGATCACACAACTAACAGTTTAGTGTTTTATTTGCTTTTTTATATATGATTGGTTATTTTTCCATTTATTTTATACCCCGTCACAGTTTTCCCTCCCTCTTCTCCTCCCTTAACCTGCCTCTCACCTTCCTTCAACACCCGCCCCCCATCCACTCTTCCTCCCTCTCTGTTCAGAAAGGGGCAGGCTCCAATGGGAGTCAATAAGCATGGCACGTCAAGTTGAGGCAGGACCAAGCTCCTCCCCCTACATCAAGGCTGAGCAAGGTGAGGCAACCCAGCATTGGGAACAGGTTCACAAAAGCCAGCTCATGCTCCAGGGGCATGTCCTGATCCCACTATTAGGAGCTCCACAAACAGACCAAGCTACACAACTATCACACACATGCAGAGGGTAGTGTTTCATTTGTAACCTGGAACAGAACTGCAGATTAATGAGCCTGGTCCCCATGTCTCTGAGTCACTTTAACTTTTCCTCCTGCCAAGAAAGCTATAACTAACCATCAAACCCTGTGGTTGTCTTCAACTGCCTAAGATTTCGTGGGTTCCATAATGTGTCAGTATGTCTCTTTACTGAGCAGTAATATAATAGATAATAATAGTTGAGTTCTTCTGATAGGTCACCTCTTATAATTCTTTCAAGAATGGTTTGAAAATAAACACTTTTACCTCCTCTGAGGTAGAAAAAGAGCAAGGTGTTTTTTTTTTTTTTTTTTTTTTTTGCCAAAGGCCTCATAGCTTTGGAGAAGTAAATGACCTTGAGTCTACAGAGTCAGAACTCAGATCCAGCATCCTTAACTAAAATAATTCCCCTGAACTCATACCTATAGTACTTCTCCACAGTGTGATTTGGCCTTCCGTGCGAATCTATGTGAATACCTTGTTGAAATATTATTTTCAAAACTAGGTAAAAATCATGGTTCTCCTAGAGATACTGCTATATTTTGGTTCATAAATAACCCTAAATGGTCCAGGTAGTAAAGGTTTGGTCCCATACTCCAAAGTAGGCCACTATTGAGAGATTGTGAAAACCTTTACAGGGAGGACCGTAGATCACTAGAGTACTGAGGGATCATGGAAGATGGTGACATTCTGAACCTGCCCCCTCTCTTCCAGCCATGAATTATTGGGTGCTCCACCATGCACTCCCACCGTGATGAGTCATCTTGCTGCAGAACCAAAGCGGCAGGACAAACCAGTCACAGACTGGAACCCTCCAAACCGTGAGCCAAGTGAACCTTTGTTCTGTAAGTTGATTTTTGTCAGGTATTTGTTACAGTAACATAAAGCTGACTCACACTGATACAAAACTGATTATGGATAAAATATTTATATATAAGGTAAACATTTTATTCAGCAACTTAGTGAGGAACATAGAAATATATAGGCAGGAAAACTATCAACAACAACACATTTATAGGTCAATGATATGGAAATGGATATGCAAATGGAGGCAAAATTAGACTCTTCATTCACCCAAAGAAGAGAACAGGGGTAATCTGAACACTTCTGAAGAGAGTTTGATCTTCTGCAAATAAATTTTTTTGACATTTCTGTCACTTATCTACAGATTGCAAAATTTTAGTTTTCACAGAATCACATTAAAAATAGCCTTGGACAGTATACTGTGGACAAGGCATGTTTTTTCCACTCACAAGTTTGCCCCTGAAAAAAAAACTTTTAATTTTTCTTATTCCTCAAAGTCGGGATTTATTTTTATATAAATAATAGGAGTTTGAGTGACAGAAATATGTAAAAAAATCTAACAAGCTATCAGGAGAGACACTATACATAATTTTAATAGGACAGCCTGTTGGGTATGTAATACTTTTATATTCTGGGACTCTATTAGTAGACTTGCTATATAAGAGGCATTTGAGACAAGCAACGTAGTTGGAACAGAGGACTAGAAGGCTAACCTGAAGCTGCTTTCCTTTTCTATAAAACTGACAGAAAGTAGATTATTTCTATTACAGAATGACATGGTAGGGGCAGAATTTGTATTACTGCATTTGAAATCTAGAGATTTCAATGTGTTCAGTAGTTAAAAAGATATTTCAGTTGACTCATGAATCATAGGAAAGTGGAGAAGTGCTATCTACCTAGGAAGAGGGGATCTATTTCATTTGAGGAATTACCTCTATCAGATTGGGATGTAGGCATGTCTGTAGGGACAGGTTCTTGATTACTGATCCATATGGGATGGGGCAGCTGCCCACTCAGGCAGCAATGTTATTCAGGCGAGGTGAGTCTGGATTATGTAAGTAAGGAAACTGAGCAAACCAAGGGGAAAAGCAGTAGTCAGCACTCCTCCATAGCCTTTGCTTCAGTTCCTGCCTCCAAGTTCTTGCCCTGGGCTCCTGTGCTGGCTTCCTTTTTCCTCATGTGGCCTTAGACTCTTTCTGTCCTAACACTGCTTCCTGGCTCATGCATGGATTAGATTTGTTCCTGCTCTGCTCTGCTGCCCTCCCAGCAGTCCAGAGTTATGCCACTGGAACCTCCAGAACTGTGAGCCAAATTAATCTTTTTTTCTTCTTCATCATTAGTTATTTTCTAGATGTTTTTATACTGATGGAAATCAGGCTAATAAAGAACAGCCCTGTATAGATATTAAAACATATAAGTTAAATGTTTTAATCATAGGACACACGATTTATTCTCTACAACACTATTTTTAAGGGTGGCTTTACTATTACAATTCCATTGTTAAAATGAACAAATTCGGTGCTGATTGAGGTTAGTGCTTTTTTACTCAGGGATAAGTTAGTGAGCAACCACTGTAGAGGTGGAAAAGGTTAGTGAATCATCACAGCAGCTGAGATAGAAGTTACTCCTTGTATGAGAGCCTTAGCTGTGTGTTAGAAGCAGCTACATCAAATCTGTCCCTTAGCTGTTTTATGAGACCTCAAGATTAAGCACAGATAATTCTGTCAGATCCTCCCAAATATATCAGCCTAACTAGAACAGGCCATGTCTAGATTGGAACTCACAGAGACAATGTACAATGCTGAACAGAACTGTGAAAAAGGTCTGACCCGCAGTCTCAGGTCTGTCAATAACATGCTTAGTGATGACATGTTCCTTCTTCTCATCCTTACTTTCCAGGTCTACAAAAACAGAGGGTCTGAATTAGATCAGTAGTTTCCAAAGACTGATTCCCCACTGATATTTATGACTTAATATTTTCTCCAAACAATTTAAGCAAAAAAAAAAATCAAGCAAAATAAAAAATGGAGCATCACTCTGAAAATTATAGGTCAGTTTTAGTGTGTCTACTGGGTCAGTATGGCAAAACCCACAAAGTTAATACAAATACTAAAATTTGGCAAATGCTACATGGTACACCCTGCTGTGGTATGGCTGTCTGTAACTAGAAGCAGCTGGATACACTGGCTGCAAACACATTATTTTGTAAAGCTGTACCCCTCCCATATTTATTTTATTTTTAATGATACTCATTTTTATAATGATGATAGTTTGTGACGTCCTGCTTTTAGATTCTAAGAAAAGTTCAGAGAGACATTGTGGCCAGCCTGAAATTCAAGTTACTCTGGAAGACCTCTGTGATGAGCAGAGACTGGAAGCATGGTGGGATTTAGTGAAGTTTAGGAAGCCTTAGTAAAGTTTGAGCACTGCTTCTTGCAAGTGAAGAGGCGTCTTCAAAGGCTTAAGGCTGCGATCAATCCTGTGGTGGCTTCTAGGAAGGAATCAGGCTGTTGAAGCTGGAACACAGATAAGGAAGCAAAGAGAATCATCAGCGCTCAGTGCCAGCTGAACACATTCATTCCTCACTCCCCACATGATCACAGGTCTCGGCTTATTTAAATCCAACAAAGGCTCCAGGGAGTCACGGTCATTACTCCTTATTACACACACAGACAAAAGCTTCAAGTTAAAATATCTCTGTGGTTATAGGGAAAGTATGGGGCAAAACAAGGCTGGGTTAGAATCTGATCAGTTCTCCCTGAAGGCCAATGTGTAAGCCACTGGCAATCCTGTCAGCTGACCACACACCAGTCATTTTAGTGTTTCTAAAGTATCACCATCCCTTGATTTTCCTCCATGTGGCTGGGATGACTAGAGTGTTGCAAAAGACTGCTCTCTGAGCCCAGCTAGGAAGCCTATTGTTAAAGGGAACACAGCTCTGGATAGAATAGCCCAACTTTTTAAAATTCCATAAGCCAGCATTCAACAAGACTCTGGACTGGGGGTGAATGTCAAGAGCCCTTATTACAAGGTCCCACAAAATTTCTTTCTCTCTAACAGATCAGAGAAAGGTAAAAAAAAAAAAAAAAAAAAAAAAAAAAAAAAAAAAAAAAAAAAAAACCTTTGATTTTCTATGGAAAAATTATGTGACCTTGTCTGGGACAAGAACTGAAGAGCATTTGTCTGGTCAGGGTTTACTATTAGACCATGATGTGGGAAGGACAAACAGCTGTGCTTCACCATGTTCATGTGAGGTTTGTTTCAGTTTCTGAAACTGCTTGCTCATAACTGTGTGTGCTCATTCTTAAAGGCTCCATCTCTAGTAACCAGTCCTCCTCACACCTGGGAGAGTGCAAGAGAGGTGCTAATGTTACAGCTCCAGCTGCGCTGTATCCAGCAAAGATAACGAAAGCAGTACAGACCCTGAACAAGCCATTCCTGTTACAAGATATTTGATTACACGGTGTAAAGTTATGTCACTGTGATTAGTTTAATAAAAAGCCAAACAGCCAATAGCTAGGCAGGAGGTATAGGTGAGACTTCTAGACAGAGAGCTCTGGGAAGAAGAACAAGAAAGTCACCAGCTAGACACAGAGGAAACAGGACCTCCAGGAGGAAAGGTAAGAGCTATGAGCCATGTGACAGCACGTAGATGAATAGAAATGGTTTAAGTTGTAAGAGCCAGTTAGAAACAAACCTAAGCTAAGACTGAGCTTTCATGATTAATAAGAAGTCTCTGTGTCCTTATTTGGGAGCTGGTGGGACAGAGAAAGACTTTCTACATATGATATCCAATGTGGGGGCATGTATTTCCACATAGGACCTGAAAAAGCTTTTTAAAAAGTCCCAAACATGGAGCCAGATGCAGCTCCCTAGTCCTGCAGTCTCTCAGGCAGGCCAATGCTTGGCATACAGATGTGTGGCTACAGGTTGCTGCCTGCGGGCTAGAGCCAGCCACCAGCCCCATGTGCCAGCGCCATGTGTTAAGCTGAGCCATGTGGCAGTTGACATTGGAAGTTTAAGATTTATCTCACAGAGTGAGAGAACGCTGTGGGCACTTTTAAAAGCCAGGTCCAGAGGCAGAAAAACCTCTAAAAAGGTACAGTATGTTTAAAAATGTGCTTAGATACTAAAGAAAGAAAAGGAAATAGGTATAGACAGTCATAGAAAAAAAGTTTAAAAATAATAAAGTAATGTTTTTAAAGCAAAAAAAGTTATATAAAAAGAATAAGCTACATAAAGATAGGAAATACACAGGGTGTCTAGATCTTATATAGTGTTTTGTTGACTTTGAATTTTTTAAATGTTAATGTTCTAAAAGCAATAGCTGCTGAGAGACATTGGATTATGGAAACTGCTAAATTAAACCGACCTACGTGTTTTAAGAATGTTTTAACTTCAAAATGGAAGTCAAAAAATGTGTTATATTGGGGAAAGGGTTGTGCTTTTATTTCCACTGGGAATGAAAAGATACAAGTTCCTTCAAAGTTAATCAAGATTACATTTGACCAGTAGAGACCTCCTGAAAATCTTGGCTAGAAACATACAAAAAGAAACAAAAGAAAAACTACAAGACAGGTGATGTATAAGGTGATCCTTCAACATGGGAACAGCTCTGAGACTGGATGAGACATGACAAATCTTGTTAGCTACAGAGTCCTCATGACACATGTCATCCTTTCATATGACATGGATATAGATTTATGTTACAGTTTGGTTATACAGTCCAGAAAACTTATAAAGTTGACAGATGCTTTTTACCTGCTCAAACATAAAACAAAAAAAATCATCTTTAATTGTCTTGTGCACATTCCATATTTGTGTTGATGCAGATATATATGCTACCTTCAGAAGTTTGTGTGTTTTCAATAAAAATGGGCCAGATAACAATAAAGGCAAGTAGCCCAAATGATCCACCCTCTGAAAATGTCTCTGTTGCAGTTTCCTCAAAATTCTGCATCCAGAATGTCTTCAAAGCTGCTAGCAGATGGTCTAGCTCCAGTCAGGACTTCAGATAAGCCTTGTACTTTCCCATTACACA